CTTATCTTTTTATTCTGTTTTTTTGTATTAGAACTACTTTGGGTTCGTTATTGCTTTTTCTAAAAAGTATTAAAACTAAGTTTCATGCTGCTTACTTTTTTTTTGTTCGAATTATGAATTCAATTACTTTTGATCTCTTATAAAATTTGTCTCTAATAAAACTTCTTGAATATTGTGATTATTTTTGATTAATTTTAATGCAAGGTGGGTTACGTAGAGGTCTTTTGCTAGCTTTCTTTTTGGAATAGATTTAATTAATAGGTTTTAAAAAATCACGAGAATACGAAGTACTTTAAACTGTATAAAAAATCAAAAAAATTTTTTATTAAATTGGCTAAGCTATAATGCTAATCATCCAAATTTGGGTTTGTCCACCATGCTGAAATCATGCAGGTCATCAGACAGGTCATACATTTATTTCGAGGATCTCCGATTATCTATTTTTCTCGCGAATTTTAGATATGAATTTTTTTTAACTATTTCTGTATTCGGAATGGTATTATACTGGTAGCGCCCATGCTACATATTGGAAATATAAGAAGCCACGGTTCCAAAAGAAGCAGTTTAAAAATGAAGTAAGTATTTTATTATTAGTTCGTAAGTTGTAAATCCTTCAGGCTACCTTTCTATTTGTATCAGTGGGCTGCCAGACGGATTAACACGGACGGATCTCCTTCTGGAGTTGAATGCAATTTTATTTAAAAGAAACTGCTACCACAACTGGTAGCAGTTTTTTTTTTGAAGAAAATCCACAGAAGAAGGTGGGTGGGAAGGGCCGCTCTTGGTCAGACTCCGGAGGAAGTGGTTGTCAAGAAGGTTTGCTTCTGGCATATAGGCTAACTTTCTCGTGATTGGCCAATTTTTTTCAATTGAATTTATACAGTTTAAAGTACTTTTACCCTCTAATATAGTAAAATTTTTTTTTTTAAATGTAATTGCCATTTATAATACTACAGAAGACTCTTTACGAACGAAGCTTTAAGTATCTTGTGTATCTCTGGGATTCATCCTACCTGAG